GGGGGAAGAAAGCTCTTTTGGAGTTCTTTTTCTAGAAATCAGCAAACTCTAATCTGAATTTCTACAGCATGAGTCACATCTGTGTGTTTTAAGATGCCTTTCCCTTCCTCCCTCCCTGCAGTTTTACTCCATCCCCCACAATGGGCCTTGCCAGCCAGAGGAGAACTTCATCTAGAACATGCACAACGTGATTATAAAACGTCAACCAAGCGATCAGCCATTGCCACCACACATCAAAGTCACTCCATGAGCAGCAGATGTACGAGATGTTATGATTAATCACAGGCAAAGGCCACAAAATGCAACAAGCATGGTCAAACCTAGGTCTAGAGCCAGCAGTGGCCGCAGCAGGGACTCAGGAGGGCTGTCGCAGTGCAGGAGGGCAGATGGGACCACCACGCTAGCCCACGTTCCTAACTATGTGGCACAACACAGCCCTGGCAGCCAAAATTGAAAGACACAGAACAAAAGAGATGGTTACAGAGCCACTGGCAGAGGGGACACGGGCTCAGCTCCTGCTTTTGCTGTGCAAAATACAGAAGGACGGAGCAAAGCAGCAAGTTTTTGGTGCAGCCCTAAAACCTGGTTCTCCCCACCACACTGCACTGGCAGGGCTGCCGGGGGTGAGCTGCAGGGCAGGGGTGGCTGGAGGGCAGCCAGGAAGAAGGGAACAGTCAGATGGCCATGTGTCCCACACCTCTTCCCAACTGCAAGGAAGAGGAACGAGCTAACCAGGCCCTCTCCCTCACCATCAGCTCTATCTGGCAGAGCTCATCTCGGAGGCACTTCATATACTTAATTATTTTCTATCAGACTTACAGCTAAAATCTGTTTTAGCTGCACTTTCTCAGCTCTCCCCCTTCCTATGCATGAGCCATAAGCAGCTCCTTCAAGTTCTACAGGCCTGGGAGAGCAGCGAGCAGGAGTTCCTGACCCTCTTGATCTCTGCCAGCCATGCTGGGACATGGTTTCACTGCTCCTGGAGAGGTGGGAGACAACTGCAACCTGCTGCCAAGAGACAGAGCATCACACAAGCACTTGGGAAACAAGGAGGGGCACAGGGCTCTCGGCAGTCTCGGAGAGACCAGGACACAAATGCCACTGCCACGACCAGCCTTTTATTCCTTGAAGGATGAAGGAACAGAGCCCTTTGTGTCTGCCAGTGAAGGCACAAATTCTGGCATTTGACCCCAGGAATTTGGCCTCTATTTCCACTAGAGCTGACCCATTAGCTGCTACAGGGACACCCACACTGCCAAAACACGTGATGGCCAGCAGTGCTGCGCTTGTTGGTAAGTGGTACCACACAGTGAGCTGAGCACAGCCAGAGCGGACCATGACAGCAACCTGACAGCTACCTTTGGTCAAGTAACACCTCCCACCACAGCCTGGAGGAGAGATCTGAAAATGTATTTTGAAGTGGGTTCTAAGAGCACCAGACAGAAGCAGCTCTGGGGAGCACAGCCCAGCAACACTGGAGAGCAGCAGCAGACCAGAAGCTCTACACTTGCATTAGCAGTGTCTTAATACCACCTCTGAG